TGTGTAGTTTTAGTTTATATTTTGTATGATGTGAAATCCAGACATCTAGATATTATTTAGTAAAGTATATCTCTTTGAACGAAATGGAGCACGAATTTGAAAAATTATATTTGATTACCAAGAATTTATGTATAAACCTGGTTAATATTGATGATATAAAAATAATGCGTATAATAGGTTAAATAAAATTATTCAATATGATACTTTACTTGTTGGAACCTTCCTTTATATTCTGAACAAATTTAGCAATATTGTTTGCTTGAGTAAAGCATTCTTAGGCATTATTATATCAACAGTGTTAGTAATTGCAGCATAAAGGGTTAAGACTAAATTGTGTTAAGAATCTTATAACATTATAATATTCTATATTATTATAAGATATTTTTTAATGTTTAGGGTGATCTTGGTGCTATAGATGGAAAATATGACATTGCAATTTCAACAGCTTGTGGTCCTCTGGATAATATTGTAGTTGATACTGTAACAACTGCACAATCATGTATAACATTTCTCCGACAAAACGATATAGGACGTGCAACCTTTATACCGCTGGAAAAACAGCAACGTTTGTTATCAAGGTGTAAACAAAAGATACAAACCCCGGAGAATGTTCCAAGGCTGTTTGATCTTATACGTGTGGAAGACGAAAGAGTATTACCGGCATTTTATTATGGGCTACAAGATACGTTAGTGGCAAATGATTTAGACCAAGCAGCACGCATTGCATATGGTCATAAACGTTTCAGAGTAGTTACATTGAAAGGCGAGTTAATCGAATTATCAGGCACAATGAGTGGAGGTGGTAAAACAGTGTTAAGGGGTAGGATGGGACAAAAAGTTCTGAAAAATGATCTGTCTGCAACAGATGTGGAAAAATTGCAATCAGACTTGAGTAAAACTTGCGAAGAGTGCAATGAACTGAGAGCTAGATCTCAGTCTTTAGAAAATGAGATTCATGTTTTAAGTGTAGGTTTAAAAGATATGAAAATTAGCAAGGAAAAGTTGTATATTGAACTGAAAACATTACAAGAACAAGAACCATCATTATTAATGCAACTTAAAGTTCAGAAGAAGAAAGTTGCGGATTCAAAATCGAATCCACAAAAGGTTGAACAGTTACAGAAAGCAATGACTGCTGCAAAGAACACTTTGGAGAAAGTACAGGAAAAGTCACAGATTTTTGAAAATCAAGTGATTCACATTAATAAAGAAATAGAGAACTTATCAGGAAGTTCTATAAAAGATGAACAGAGAAATATATGTAACTTATGTAAAGTAATTGATAAAGGTAAAGCTGAAATATGCAAATTGCAAGTTGCTATTAAAACAGCTGAGAGAAATGTGAAGAAAATGGAACAACGGATAAATAGTTTAGAAAATGATATACATTCTTGTGAACAAAGACTTCGCGATATTCAAAAGGAGAAACAAGAATTAGAAGAACAAGGAAAAATATATTTAAAAGAACTTGATGAACTTACGAAAACACTTTCAGATAGAGACGAGGCTATGTCATCTTTTAAAGAAGAATTAAATACTTTACTTGCTAGGGAAAATAAAATGAAAGCATTTAAAATAGATCTTGATCAGAAAGTGAAAGAATATAAGGTTATAATTGATGAATTAAAACAAAAAATTCCAGGCTTTACAAGAAAAATAGCTGATTTAAAACTTCAAGTAATACCTGGTGAAAATGTTGAAGAGTTAAAAGAATTAACGGAGGAGGAACTTCATGAATTAGACGAGAGAATTCTCGTAGGTAATTTGCAAAAAGTTAAGACACAATTACCCACAGACGTTCCAAATATGCAGCTTATTGCGGAATATAAAGAAAAAGATGCATTGTATATGAAACGTGCTGCAGATCTAGAAAAAATAACGACTGAGCGCAATAAAATACGAGATGTATATGAAACAGCAAGACGTCGAAGAATTCAAGAGTTTCTTGCAGGTTTTACTATTATTACAGACAAATTGAAAGAGATGTATCAAATGATTACATTAGGAGGTGATGCAGAATTGGAATTGGTCGATTCTTTGGACCCTTTTAGCGAAGGAATTGCTTTTAGTGTTAGACCACCTAAGAAATCTTGGAAAAATATTTGTAATCTCAGTGGTGGTGAAAAAACTTTGAGTTCTCTGGCACTTGTATTTGCACTACATCATTACAAACCTACCCCCCTATATTTTATGGACGAAATTGATGCAGCTTTGGACTTTAAAAATGTTTCAATCGTTGGAAATTATATTAAGGAAAGAACAAAAAACGCACAATTTATAATAATATCCTTAAGATCGAATATGTTTGAACTTGCGGATTATCTGGTCGGAATATATAAAACGTACAACTGCACAAAGAGCGTTACCGTTGATTCGAGAAAGTATTATGAAAAGAGTGGAATTGCTCCTCCGACACAAATCACATCCAAGAGCCTGTATTCGACACAGATACAAAAATTTTCTGTACAAAGTCAGTACAAAGAAAATTGTACAACACAGAAGACGGATAATATACAAAGTGTACATCACTCGGGAAATACATCATTCGGGTATAACAAACATTTTATATGTATATATTTTATATATATATAAATATTTATATATTTACATTTCTTTTTTTTTTCTTCTTGGTTTTAAGGGTTTTGTATGTTTTTATGAAAAAATGTTTTTTATCCCCACAATTTAAAATGAAAAATAACCGGCAGTAACAGGCCATGGCACACTGATAGTTATTTAACATTAATCTTGTTAAATGTTGCAGTTTTATTTATACAATCATAAAATTAACAGTTTACGACAAAAACGTTGAAGATTGTTTTATTTTTTTAGGCTGCCAGAATTAGGATTGTGTCCATCACCAGAAGAAAAGACATCTTTACAAAGATGTTCCAGTGCAACTGAAAGTAACATGAGTGATGAGAATACTTGCCAGAAACCATTGAAAAAGAAACGTAAAATATAAAGTACAAAAATGTTCTACAATGTTAAGATTTAATTACTAAGTTTTCTTAATGGTACCTGCATGTGAGTGCCGTATCTAACAAATGCAAGAAAGTTTACGTATCATTCTGTTATAGTGTATCAAAAGTTGAAATGTTACAAGTTCTAACTTACATAACATACAACGTGTTTCGTTTAACTGGAAACGCAAGAATATCTCCTAGACCATTGAAGATACGAAAAAATTATTATGAGAGTTTGATACAGAAGGGGATATTATATGGTGAAAATAATTTTGTTCGTATTTGAAATTATAGGGGATATTTTAAGGTCACCTTAATTTTTTTTAAAGGAGATATTTATTTTTATTCATAATATGATGGCGTTTGTTAAGGCGAGTACAATAGTGTGCCACATAAGGTCAATCAACGTAGTAGATCATAAATTATGGAGATGATACTACAGATTCGATTCAGACCACTCAGTATCTATTAAATTACCTGTTCGGTTGCTGTATTTATGACCTTCTACCACATTGAATGACTTTATGTGGCACACCACTGAACTCGGCTTAACACGCTATCGTATTATGAATACAGATGTATAGTATTACATTTAAAAAAGTTAAGGTGACCTTGAAATATCTGTAATTTCAAATACAAAAAATTATTTTCATCACACAATTTCCCCTTTGAACCAAATAACTCTCATAATAATGATTTTTTCATATCTTTACCGACCTACGAGATATTTCTGCGTGTTCAGTTAAACGAAACACTGTATGAATGAAATCAAATCTTGCGAGCACTCACGTCGGCTCAGATTCACCCACTCTGTCTCTCCGTTGTTATGGAAACCATGATGCTGTTTTTGTGTTTACGCGGAGAATCATTAGCGCATG